AAAAAAAAAGGATGAAAGAAAAAAAATAGGCATTCATCCTGCTACACAACAGCAAGGCAACTGCCGATACACAGTAGACTCTGGGAGTCAAACCTCATCTTCTCCTTCCTGTCAGTTTCTTCACACTATTTCCCAACATACCTTTACTTTTAACATACTTAACAAATTCTTCATTAATCCAGCTTTCACTACAAAGATAGTTCCTCAAATCATTGTTTGAAACCACATCAAACAATGACATAAGCATTCACGTGGCCAAGCACTACAACCCTTCCTATCCAATCTTTTTTTTTTGTAGCAGGAGAAGGGAACACTCAATTCTGAGTACAATCTGTCGTTGGTAGGATCGGTTCTTGCTCTTTAAACCTGTCAACCTGCAGCATGTCAACTTGACTGTCAGGATGTGCAGGTGTCATCCAGACTAGAAAAGTGATGGTTTATTTTATGGTATTTCCCCTGAGAAGTTTCATTAGCAAATCTACAATCGATGTGTGTAAATGATACTGAGAACTGGAATTTCTGTACTGATTCCATCATTCCCTTTGTGCTTTTTAAGAAACAGGCAAAAATCGATGGCGATAACTGGTACCAGAGAAAAACACATAAGTAAGCACTACACAGCTAAGAAACAATGACGACAGATTTCCCCATGAGATGCAGCAAATTAACTTTGATATTGGGAGTAACCACAGCTGTGCTGCATCACATGATGCGTTCTTAGACATGAAAGCAATAACAACTACAGGCACAGGATATTACTCTAAGCCCTTGGGTTTGTTTTGGGAGGAGCTGGACAGCCTTCAGCACTTTGTTACCAGTAATACTTGTTAATCCAAACAGTTCACAGACAGAATTTCAATTTTAAATGTGTCTTACTTGAAGTAAAATACAAATCATATTTCAAACAACACAGGCGGTAGACATCTTTGGAAAATATTAATGTGCTAGATTTCTGCTTCTGATAAAGGTCAAGGCTGGCCAAGAAGATAGTTTCTACTCATTAGTAGCACCTCTGAAAAAGCTGCTTGGAAAAGTGCTTAGGGACTGAAGTGCGTTATTATAATGCTCATTTATAATGAGAAGTCTTACACAGAGCTCAAAAGACCTTTGCAAATGTTAGCTAACCAGAATGCACGGATCTCCAAGCTTACACTCCAGTGTACACCCACGTAACGTAGCATGGCATTGCGTCGCCGCCTCAGTAGAGATCATGAAGAGATCGAATCACTTCTGCAGAGTGATAGAGATATCCTCTAACAAAACCTGCCCTATAGGCTGTCCAACCTCACCGAGCTCAGCGCAGTCCTGCAGGAACACTACAAGGTCGCTTAAGGCTGGAGCTGCTTGGTGCGAATTGATAGCACAGGGTCTGCAGTTGGGTGGCACAGAGGCAGGTTGGCAGTGTTTGTCCTCGCCGCGGGGATGAGTCTCCAAAACAACAAGCTCTCGGCACCAGGTAGAGAGGAAAAGGAAGATGTGGACACAACACCGCATTTGTCACAGTGAAAAGCGCGCATTTAATCAACCTAGTTAAACTGCTGCAAACCAGAGTGCAGATACTTGGAACTTGGTGTAGAGTTGTGTCGTTATTGGGGTTTTTTCCCCTTTTGTTTTGTTCTGCTTTTTAAAGCACTGTTTGTGTCCTGGTTTTGGCTGGAATAATTTTCCTCCTAGTAGGTGGTACAGCGCTGTGTTTTGGATTTATGATGAGAATAATTTTGACAACACACTGATGTTTTAGTTGTTGCTGAGCAGCGTTTACACTAAGTCAAGGACTTTTCAGCTTCTCAGGCTGCCCTGCTAGCAGAGGCTGGAAGGGTACAAAAAGCTGGGAGGGGACACAGCCAGGACAGCTGACCCAGACACCAAAGGGGTATTCCAGACCAAATGATGTCACGTCCAGTATGTAAACTGGAGGGAGCTGGATGAAGGACACCACAGCTCAGGTATTGGCTGGGCATCAGTAAGTGGGTGGTCAGCAATTGTATCGTTCATCATCTGTTTTGTATATTCTGTTGATATCATTATTTTCCCTTCCTGTTCTGTTCTATTAAACTGTCTATCTTAATCTATGACCTCTAAGGTTTGGGTTTTTTCCCCCACTGATTCTCTCCCCCCATCCCACTGCGGTGGGCAATGAGTAAGTGGCTGTGTGGTACTTAATTGCTAGCTGGGGTTAAATCACGACAGTTTGTTAATTCACTAAAAAAACCTGAATAATCTATGTGTAAGTCAGAAGTTTATCTGTGTAAAACATTTTCACTTCAACTTCATGAAACTGATTTGAAACATACACATTACTACTGATAGGGATGTTGACTTTATTGATCTACAATCTTCTGCTCTACTCTACAATCACTTGAGAACACTAAGAAGCAATATATTTTATAGACTGAGTTGAAGGAATAAGGCAATTTATATTCCTAGCTACACACCTTTTCTGTCCCACAGCTGAAAAATGTTGTAATAAAGTAGCACTGCTACAGCTTCACAATAGAGCATCTGCATACAACAAAGCAGAGCAGACTCCTTATGGAAATTTCAACAGATGGCTTCTTATTACTGTAAACTGCTTTGTATTACTGCAAGCTCCCTTTTACTATTGCTGCTCTCTTCAGTTCTAAAGCATCCCCATCCTCTGAAAACCACGGTCTGCTGCTCTTTGCAGGTTCTCTGAATTTTTATAGAGCTTATCTTCCATGTTACACTATGACAACAGTGCCCCTACCAACAGGAAAGCAGTAAACTCCCCAAACATATTATAGACATAGGGCACATTACAGTCCACTGCACTCTTCCATCATAACAGAAGCTCTTCACAGAATCACAGAATGTCAGGGG